GTGAAAAGATGATCCTTGTATGGCTGGATACACCGTATAACCAAGCAGTGTATGGACTTGTAGATAAACTAGGTGTGTCACTCTTGGCCCGTTTCCTTGCAGGGGTCTGATACTGATTTTGAATGCATATTTGAGATGTACTTCGAATCTGTTGCACTATATGATCTTTGTTCTCAGAGATAACAAATTGTTTTCTCAGGGAGCCTAGTGGTGAGGCTGATTTTTCTTCCATTTGAAGAAAGCTCATATGCAACATTTGCAAGCTCTGCATCAGGTTTAAATCGATTCTTTGGGACATTATATCAAATCATTTATTAGATTACAATAAAATTTAGGTTGTTGCTAAATCCACTCCTCATTTAGCTATATCCACCACTTTTTATATAAAATTGACAAGTTTACCCTCAGTGTTTATAAAAGGGAAAGAAATAAGTGAAAGGTAAAATTGTCAATTTCTTATAAATGGAGTGTATTTAGCAAAATGAGGCGTGGATTTAGAACCAGTCTAAACTTTATTATTTTAAGCTACAAGTCTATAAATGAGTGCGGAAATGAGAACTGACCCTTCCCGATATGTTCATATGAGTAAAAGAACATTTGGTCTCGATTGGAAACTCATGCAAGGCCAACTTTGGCTAGCTGCATCAGTTTTCCTCAACATAGAATTAGATCGTATTCATTCCTCACAACAAATTTGTGTACACGCAGGAGATCAAAAAGGGAACAAGAAGATTCTGGGGAGGAATCTGACGGATGCCCTGAAGCTTGTTTTGCTAATTGGTATCAAATATCTTACAGTTACTTCAAACATACCATTTTCTAGTTCTTTCAGTGTGACTTGTATTTGTACTATAATGCTATGGTTATCTGGCTGGGTGTGTATCATATTTTGTTTTTTTAATAAACAAAAACTTGCAATTCTTTTATTTGGTAGGTCTGGTTGTTATTGCATTCGGTCCAAGCTATTCATATTCCCTCATCAGATTGCTCTATGGTAGAAAATGGAGCGATGGAGAAGCTTCGACAGCACTCCAATATTATTGTCTCTACGTGATAGTTTTGGCCATGAATGGTATATTATCTTGAGCGTCTTTTTGTTTGCATTCTTCTTATCTTCTTTTTCACCAATTCTGTCAGTTCAGTTATTCTGAAGTGTTGGTTCATAACTTGCTGACTTTTGTGGTGCAATGTATTATTTTTTGACTCCAACAAATATAGGTTTAGCTTTTTGTTGGAGGAGAATTACTATATGGAATTCACATACTGTTCTTTATGTCAGGGACATCTGAAGCATTTCTACATGCAGTTGCATCAGAGACAGAACTTAAACGGTCAAATGATTCATTGCTCGTTTTCTCATTGATTTACTTGGTCATGAACGTCTCACTTATAAGATCAGCGGGTGCAATTGGGTTGGTTCTAGCAAATTCTTTGAGTATCCTTTTGCAATTTTTCTAGATCTTGTGATTAACAATTTCCCCCGCTCATAATTCGGACCCTGTGCAGTCTGTTTTCTCTTGAGGTTATTTAGATTTGAAATACTATGCAGTCTTTGGTTCTTTGACTATAATAGATATGATCTTCAGGATAGTTTACTCAGCGGTTTTCATCAGAAAGTTTTTCAAGGTATGGTATCTCTCACATGAATATGCCAACTTAATAAGAGTTTGATTATTTCTCTTGACACTTTGGAAAATCTCCACAGGAATCTTCATCCTTCTCCTTTAGAGCTTGCATTCCCGGAGGTTATGAATTTGTGTTGGCTTCAGGAGTAGCCACCTTTATCCTTGAAAGGATATATCTCAACCCTGACAACTTCTGGGCCACCTTTGCCGTTCACTTCTCCTTTGGCTTGGTCTGTTTTCTTGTTGCTGCTTTCGTAATGTGAGTCTCTTTATGTTCAATTTCCTCCATTTTTCCTGTTTTCATGGTTTCTTGAGCCAAGGATCGTCGGAGAACAACCTCTCTGCCCTTTTAGGTAGGGGTAAGGGCCTGCACACACTCGACCTCCTAAAAAAAACCCACTTGTGGGACTACTAGATTGTTGTTGTAGTAAATCTTTATGGGTGTGATGGGTTGAAACTTGAAAGGGATTAGAGAGAGGGAAGAGAAAATGCTCCCTACCATTCGGTTCTATTTTTTTGGGGGAGGGCGTGTGATCCACCTCTACTACGTAGTAAGGGTGAGATTTGTGTACACACAAACACTTAAAATTTTGATAATCCCTCCCTTCCCCTCATCCTTTTTCAGCAAACAAAACAATGTAACTCTAAATCCACCATTTCCTTCATCTCTCATCTTTTCCCTTGAGCCAAACACAGCCTAAGCCGTTGTTCTGTTCGTGTCTTGAAACAGCCGCACACACACACACACACACACACACAATGTAGCATTCTAATTAATTCTAACAATTGCGAAATTCTTATGATCAGCTATAAAAAAGAGAGGCCTTTCATCAGGAAAATTATACGCTTTCGCGAACACGATGACTGAAGCTGCCAATACATTGTCTTGGTTAGATGGTTTTGTGCCATAGTCTATCACTAGAGTATTTCTATTAAGAACATGTAATTTTCATTCCTTGAAGGGCTGTACTCTTTTTGAAAACCGTATACTTACTAGTCACTGCCATCAAGGTATTATATTGGTCTCGTATTTGTGCCCTCATTTCATTTGATACAAAATTTATGCCCTGTTTGGTAAATGGAATTGAATGAGTTTGGAAGCCTTGAACGAATGTGTTTGGAGAAAATTGGAAAAGAATCCGGTCGTAGTCTCTCTGTATGGTGTGCATGGAAATATTTTTGTAGTAGTATTATTCTCTCTATCTCAAAATAAATTTATTACTCCGTATAAAAGGGAGATCATATTTTTATTTATGTTTTATAATTAACATAAGATTTCAAAAAAAAAAAAACATTATGCTACCATTTTCAACATACTCCATAGCATTTATGGTCAGATGGCACACCCATATTCATGGGACACAACATTTGGGCGGAAAACGTGATGGTTTTTCCTTCCTCTACTCTGTCTGTCCCAATTTATGTTTATGTTCATTTTGACACGGTCAAGATTTAACTACAGAGTGTTTTTTTTACTCATTTTCATTGCTCATTTGTTTGGATTACAAGAATTTGGTTTGTAATTAGTTCCATGTTAGATTTGATTTGTTCTTTTAAGATTCAATTTGATTTTGGTTTGGATTTGAGTGACATTGCTTTGATTGAGAATCGCGCCAATTAGATTTCCGATCAACTTAACTTATAATCAGTCCAATTACTCCCAATGTTACGAACTAATCGTGTTCTTTTTTAGTTTGTTCCAAAAAAAGTTATCTCGCTTAAGGTAAAGAATATGTCATCTATAATTTTTTTCTTTTAATTAAATTTCAATCACTCATTTTATTTTCAACACTTTTCTAAAACCATGTGAAGTCAAACTAATATAATAATTTCGACAAAGAGTAGAATTTTGAATCAACATTGACATAATTATTTTCGGTCTCGGATCATATCTAGTTTTTTAATATTTTGGATAATCCCTTAGCTCAAGTCGCTTTTGTCACACATACATTCTCTAAAAAAGATGAGAATTTGCATGTAAAAATGAAATGGAAATTGTCTTTAAGTGACTACATGACATACATCAATATTATTGGAGCAACAAAAATTTACTAGCTCTTATAGTGTTTGCAAGTTTGATTCAAATGCAGATTTCTTATTCGACCTACATTCTTCAAATTCTTTGAACATATGAGCATCAACGGTACCAAATCATAATCAAATTGAAGGTTGGAACACTTGACCAACCAATGTATTTGTACAATGGAACATGATTGATTATAACTCGATTAGGGAGTCATCTTTTTCAAGGACAATCATGAAAGGAAAAATTGCAAGTTATGAAGTTGTTATCTCAAGTGTGTTGCTTATGTCGTCGGATACAAAAATTCCCTTTAAGTTTCAATGAAAATAATTAGGTAATTATAACATCACATACAATGACTATTAACAAAAGTCAAAGGTACTCCGTAATTTTTAACGCATGTTGGGTTGTTACTCGAAAAAATTGGTACTCCGTATTTAGTTATAGAAAACTATATGTTGCTGCTTCGTGTATTACATATTGTAAGGATACCTCTAATAGGAGAGTATGAGAGCAGAACTGTCTAGCTTTGTTGGCAAGGGGCGAATGATTAGAGAGGGTAGGAGAAAATAAGGGAGGTGCAGCTTAAAGGGGAATAATATGCTTCTAGGGAAGTTACTACGATTTATTTTCACATTTCTAAATTTTATTCTCTTATTATCCCCACTCCCCTTGTTCTGCATTTATTTTGTTTCTTTTCAAGAGTTCAAATTTGCATACACATCATACTTATCTTTGTGATCATTTGGAGAAGTGTCTAAAGTACAAATCTTTTGGGGAATAATTTTTGAAAAAATAAAGTTATTTAAGAAAAAAGGAGGAAAAAATGGGAGGAGAATTGTTTTTACTTGTTAGTGTTTTGTTGAACCATTCACTTAGAATGATTGTTTAAATTTAAATTGCTTAAATCAATTGGAGTGCTCCTTAATTAAAATTCTTTCTCCCTTCTTTAGTAATTCAGCCCATCCTTAGTCCAAATAAAATTTATATTAATCACAACTTTTCACCTTCTATATATCTTCCTCTCTCCAAACTAGTCAAACTGGAAGAATTTTGGACCTCAATTAAATAAAAATTGTATTGTATATTAAAATATAAAAATAATTTCATTAAATTTATCGTTTTGAAAACTTTCAAAATTTTACTTTATTTTGTTGATATGCAATACAAATAAAGAGTAACTAATGTCCAAAGTTCTTCGAAAAAGTTAAGCTGGACGAATGGAGGGAGTACATATAGACACATAGTCACATACAAAATACAAATACGTGTGTAGTGTGTAATTTCTATTAAACATACAAAGTTTATAGAGAAAAGAAAATATTACAAAAATAGAAAAAATATGATCAACTTACAATTGAATCATTATATTAAAATATTTACATACTCTGTGGTTCAATTTGACTTTCAAAAATGAAAGCTTGATGCGGATATATATGATATCTGATGGATGCGGATACGATACTAATTTTAAGAATCCCTTAAGATTTGTATCCGAATTTGACATCCGATAAAATTAAATGAATGCAAATATGGTAATGCCACATACCAATGTTGATATGGTAATGCCACATTTGATCCGTTTAACATCCATTTACACACCTTAGGGGCTATACAGAGTACTTACTTGATCTGTCAGCAGATGAAAAGCTGGAACTTGGGAGCATCATTTCCTACATTTAAGTAGTTAACATCAACTGCAGTCTGTCCAAAATCATCTGATGGGCAGTTAAAATCCCCACGTTAGTCCTGTCTTATGATCAAAGCTTTGATAATGAGGTGAAATGAAGGGATAATTTACGGGTGATGGGCAAACCTTCATAAAGGGTTCTCACAAAACTGACATAGTCTGGTATTAGGTCCCTATATATGATACCATCTGGATGTGCATCTAGGACTACAAGGACTCCTATGAGATTTAGGATAAGATATTCATATATCAAAGTCGAGAATATACATGCATTAGAAAGTCCATACTGTAAATCGACTCATATGACACTACATATAAATCTAGTAAATGAACATTTGATTCAGATTCTTGAGTAAAAACAATAGTGAAATCTGCAGGCAGTTAACACAAAGGAGTTGCAAAAGTTAAAGGGCATGTGTTCATGGATATTCAATGTGTACTTTGTACCTAAGAAAATCTTCATGTAACACAGAAGCAGAATGAATAATAGATGAACGTCAATAAATTAAGAACAAGATGTTTTTTCCCTGATGGATGTGATACCTGGTGCCAGCCATTTGTTAATGGATTCACTTGGTAAAGGAGCAAGCCACAATATGTTCCGTAAATTCATTGAATCATCATATGCCACGTTAGACCCTGATAAAAATTTGTTAAAAATTACTACATAGCTGCATATATCCTGGATTTGCAAACAAATGCAGAAAAAAACGAGCATAAAAGGTTTGAAAAAATGTTGATAATATCAAGAAAATCACAAAGATATTACTCCCATTGTCGTGATGAAGTTTTCCAGATTCAAATTTTCTAGTCAAACACATTACACTTAGACCAGTGACCGCTACTATATTTTATTTAAAATGGTTTACAATACGGAGTATTAAAAATACTATCATAAAAGTAAAAAAGTTATGACTTTCAAAGAAAAAATTTCAGCTGAAAACATCCATCAAAATTTAACAAGTTTGACTAAAAAACAAGTCTTGGAAAGTCCATTGAGGTTAAGGTTGTAATAAGTTTACCCATTTGACAGTAACCCATATTGACTGGAAATACTTCCTTATCATATGCTGGGTACTCTTTAGCATGAAACCTGCAATATTTATAGCACGATTTCAGGATATAAAAAAGAAAAAGCAACTGGACAAAATAGATGTCAAATCCAATCTCTAATCTCTATGAGGTTATCAGCAGAAATCACTTACATATACCTATTTCTTATTCAAGCAGCAAGTGCAGTGAGCGGTCTATTTTGCTACAATATTAAATGCAGAATTGCACTTTCAGTTTAATGGTTATTTGAATTTCAGATTTTTGTTACGTTCTCCATCACAACTATCAGTGCAAAGTCAAACATAAAGTACTACATAAAATGTAATGTCTTTTCTAAATATCCTTGATCAGTGACTTCTTTGAGAAAATAATACTCCGTAATAAAGATTGCAATTTTTTGTGGCCAATGAATCATCAGAGAAACAATGGAAAGTGGGGAGTGATCTTCTTTCTTCCATATGGTTTAGCTTTGGATAAATAAAGAACAATCAAAATGACAATTAAACTGTCCTTGCTTCTTACTTTTTATGAAGTCTTGAGAAGTAAATGCAGCAGTGCATCAAGGGTCTAGTGGAAATAGCATCTCTGTTTTTTACAGGGCACGGTTATGTACATCTTGACCCCCCAAACAACATCTCCGTTGGGGATTGTCATAGTAATAAAGTCAACCAAGAACACTGATGGAAAACTGTGTGTGTGTGTGTGTGTGTGTGAGAGAGAGAGAGAGAGAGAGATAGATAGATAGAGGGGGGGAATCATACAAAACAATAATGACGATCTACTCAGTGAAATCCCACAAGTGAGGAATTGTAGGGAAGCTGTTTCCAAAAGAACCCACCCCCAACCACAGGCTCACATGAAAGAGAAATCATAATAAAATTGATAAAAAGTAATTTATCAATTTCTTCAGCATCCTCAAGCAAACAGTATCATGATCGGATCTTTATTTCAAAAGAAAGTTCATTGATAAGCAAGGAAAGACTTGCAACTCACAGAATACCAAGCCTTTGAGAGTTTAAGGCAAGAAAGAGATGACCATGAAAGAAATCATATCGATTCAATGACACATTCAGCCCTACCTCAGGGCCCCGACGAACAATCATCTCAAACAAATACATAAGGTATGAGTTTATCTCCTAATAAAAAAATGATTAAATACATGTCAACTCAAAGATAAAAGGAATGATATTCCATAAATAACTTATAACAGCACTATCTGACTCTGACCTCGTTTATGAAATGCCTCCCATAAGGAGTTCTAGTTAGCTCGCAATGATCTCTCTTTGAGCCTTCAACATCAGGAACCTGTAGTATTTTATTGTAAAATCAGTGCATTTTAATTATTATTCCGTACAATATACATGGTCTTTAAAAAGACTGGTACTACTTTACAGGAAGAAACAAATGTCAAATAGATTTGATTCTTTACAACTGCTCGTTGAATTCTTTCATATAGGGTCTGTTTGGTAGTTTGCAGTTCAACCAATTCTTGGCTGCTTTTACTAGCTTTGGTTGGTCAAGAAACTACAATCAATGTTTGGGAACTGGTTGTTTCGGTTGGCTGTTTGCTCTGAAAAAGCCACTTTTCAAAAAACCAAGGGCTGTGGCTTTTGGGGTGGCGCTAGACAATAGAAATATTCTTTACAATTTTATCCTTCATACATACACATAAATCTTTTCATTTCACAAACAGAAATGAGATACACACATACCCATAACAAAAATATAATCATTATCTGTCTACATATTTTAATACGAGTACATAGGCAATACCAGTACTTAGTTACATTATAACTAAAATTAAATTATTAAAACTGTAATAATAACAATAATAATCAACTACTAATTCCACAAATGAACGCATGCCATTATACGCAATTTCATCTAGACAAAGCTATTTGCAAGCAACCCGTTTTATCAAACAATTTTCAATAAACAGCCAACAAAACCAGCAGACCTAAACTACTAAACCAATGGGTTGTTCAATGCAGCTAACACAACCAGGCAATGACTAACTTCCAAACAAGGTCTTAATTTCTTTGGCATCCAAAGTTCATAAAACAATAAACATTGATTATGTTTAGCGTTCTAGAAGAAAGGGTGCTGCATTCCCAACAAAGTGAAATTCTTGCAATAAATCCAGTAATATTGCTTCTTGAGAGAGTTTGTTAACTCTTATTGCAAAATACATATGATTTAAGTGCAAGCAATCAGTTCTTTTTCTCATCAACAGAAGGGTTTAACTCTTCCAAGCAATTAGTGCACTCACAGGGATAATTGTAGGATCGAGAGCCCAATGAATAGCACCAGGATCGCCACCCGAGTCCACGGCAAGCCTTGCGAGCTCCATCACTGGCTCAGGTGGCCACCAAACAAGCTCATTCTCCTCCTGCCTACTCCTGGAGCGACTCAATTCCCAACTTGGCACGTGCAAGGAGGGTTTCAATGATTCAGATCCAGAAATGAAAGGTACGAGGAATTTGAAGCAGGCCCGGAGTTCCTCAGCCACTATGGAACTGATGGCGGAGGATTGCTGTGATGGGCCTAAAAGCGAGATCAAATCAGCTGCTGTGGCCCTGGAGGCGGCAGCCAAGTCCTGTGGCGGCGCTAGAGAAGAATAAAGGCGGAAATTGAGCTTTCGAGCAGACCACAAGTCAGGAGAGAAAGCAGCTATGGCGGATGTGGAGTGGGAAGCTACTGCAAGAGAGAGGGAGAAGAAAAGGGCGAATTTCATAGATGACGATGATGGTGTGACAAGCTTGAACTCCATTCGCATTACTTGTTATACTTCAAACAACAAAACGAAAATAATTTGGATTGGTTTCGATTCATCGAAGTTAAGCCTTTCAGTAATAATAACTTTTGTTCGGTTCGATGTCAATCCGAAGAACCCGTCGACAACGATTGGGACATAGCAGCCGTCGTCGTCGTCGGCGATTGAACCTCAGGCCGTCGTGGTCATTTTCTTGTCTCACTCAGTCCAGAACCGGACCCAAGAGGATGATAAAAAATACTCCTTATGTAAGATTTTGGAGTGATGAAAAATAATAAAATATATCTCTGTTCTTATTTTTATTACAACTAGATTCATACCCGTGCGATGCACGGTCATGAAGTTTTTTAATTTTTTTTATTTTGTATAATTAAAATTAATTGTTGAAAACGTTAACATATACATTTTCACTACAATGTGAGCATCAGAATAATATTTCAATTTGAATATCTATATATTTTAATCTTACCACTATAAGAATATTAAAATTGGTGAATGATGCAAACAGAGTTAGTAACATTTCATGCAGTTATGATTACTTAAATTACAATCCTGGGCTAATAGCATGGGTGCCCCCGGTGATTTACAAAAAAAGGCAATAAAATTTTTTTTCTTTTCAAAAGTTATTTGTAAAATCCATATGGTTTCTAAATAGAGCACACATGCCCCCTACCTATTTTTAAAGCAGAAATGACATTTATGCCTTTTCTTTCCGTCAATCTTGTATTTTCCCAATTTTTTTATTATACAAATATATAAAATAAAATATGCGTTTCCCATCTCAAATTAAAATTTTCCATGAGCATCAATAAAAAGAATACTTATTTTAAGAAAATAATACTTTCAACTTTGAAGTTTTATTAATATTAAAGCATGTAGTTCGCGCACTAAAAAACAGTAATTGACCTAAATAAGACTAATACATAATGACTTTCTCAATATAGGATAATGTGTTTTTATTTTCTAATATGGGACCATTGGTCATTATTAATTAGTCATTATTCAAGTAAATGTCCTCTATCACTGGACATTATTTCTTCTCCTGGACATTATTAAGTCATATTTAAGGAATAAAAATCTTTAAGTTCGTCCTAAACTTTTTCGCTTTTTAGGGCACTGGTAATACATATCACGCCACCCGGCGTTATGTTACTTTTGAAGCCCGGGGGGCGTTAAACACCGCCCCCCTGGGGCTTCATCTGTGCTTCATTTCTTCTACTTCAAATATTTAACGGACTTCAAAGCTCTTCCCCCCCTCCCCACTCTCTCTTTAAAAAAAATATACACAAACATAATTTTTTTTACTCTATATTTTGTTGTTTAAATTTTTTTTAGTAATGTAATTTGTTTTGTTTTTTCATTAAATTTAACATACTTTTTTTATTGACTGTATTTTTTATTTGATGAATTATTTCAGTTTGCAATGTTTTACTACAACTCGAATTTGAATGAAGATATTTTTAGTTGCTCGAATAATTAGTAATTTCTTTGTAGTGTTATTTTTTTATGGATGTGATATTTTTTTAATGAATGAAACTTTTTTATGAATGTAATATTTTTTTAATGAATGTAAATTTTTTAATGTACTAATCTCCTTTTGATTAATTTAAATAATAAATTAATTAAAATTTAATAATTTAAATTTAGAAGATGTATATTTAAAAATGTAAAAAATGAAGGTTTGCAGCCCCTGTTTGAAGCCCCGGGGCTTCAAACCCATTTCCAGTGAATTTTTTGTGTAAGTTAAAGCTGACGTGGCAGAGAGAGAGAGTTTGAAGCCCTGGGGCTTCTCGAGTATTTCCAGTGCTCTTATTACAACCTGTAACGGCTATAAGGCCTCATTTATGTTCTGGACACTTATGAATGTAATTAACCCTTTGTTCTCTAGCTATGAGCTATATATAAATGAATCATTGTAGGTTTTAATCAACGTGCCTATGTCTGTGAACCTACAGGTAACCTCTGTTATTTTTCAAAGGAATGCTAGGGGTACACCAAACGGTGTACCCTATTTTTACACTATGCATCTTTACCCTTCATTTCTTTTTTTATTTTTAATTTTTTTGCTATATTGCTTTTGTATGGTGGGAATGGAGTGGGGTACGAATTGGGTACACCATTTGGTGTACCGCTAACATTTTTGTATTTTTCATTTTTGTGCAATTCACTATATATCATTAATTCATTCTCTATAATGTCGTGCAATTTATCAGGGGCGGATCCATATTATAGTAGTTGGGGGCAATGCCCCCCCTGCTATTTTTAAGTTTTTCTTAATTATATATATTGTGATACTTAATCTTTTTTAATGTTTCTTAGAGTCATGTAATTTATGACCCCAACTAAAAATATTAGAGATGCCAATTGAAAGCATTAGAGACTTCAATTAATGGTGTTAAGTAAGAAAACAATGAGAAAAGTTGAATATTTAAATATTAAAAGAATATAATTTTAAAGTAAAATATTTAAAAGTCCAAAGATAAATTCTAAAGTAGTACACTAAAAATATACGGAGTAATAATTACACTAATTTATAATGTTGGCATTAAATAAAAAATTCAAGTTTTTTTATTTTTTTTAGTATTTGATGAATAACTTTTTGAGGGTAAATTCATTATTTTTTTAAAGTTTCACATTGCATGTATAAAAAAAGTTTTGGTGACGTAGCCCCCCGAACACCCAAAAAGTGACCCCTACTATCTAACATCCTCGATCCGCCACTGCAATTTATATAGATTCTAATAATGAAAATCTTTTGTATATACCCAGGGAGTGATCACCGATTTTAAGATTAGTTCAAAGCTTCTAAGGTAATTTTTGGTATGGCCATTGTGGCTACATCATAGCCCATAACAGATCTTGTTTAAGAACATCTGAAAATTTAGTCCCTCCAACTTAATTAGTAATCTACAAAAAGATCTATGTCAATGATTCATTGATATACTTAATTACTGAATTGAGTACATGTTGAAACTCTACTCTAAAACTCTTTGCCAGTAAACTCAGTAATTAAGGATCTTAATTTATCAATGATCATTAATTTTAATGGTTGTGTAGGTACTATGAGCTCATGAACTTAATAATACATCTCCATCAACTAAAAACATTCAAGTACGGAGTGCATGTTTTTTTTCATACTTCACCATATAAAGTTCATTGCATGAATTGCTATGTACTATTTTTTCTCCGTCCCAATGTATTTGTCCAGTTTGACTTTTTTGAGTCAAATTGAACAAACTTTGAGCTTCAATTAAATAAAAATCGTAATGTATTTTAACATAAAAATGACTTTATTGGATTTATCGTATTGAGAACTTTTAAAATTATATTTGATTATGCTATGCATCTATCTCTCCCACTGTGAGAATCAAGTACGGAGTACATGTTTTTTTTAAAGCCGAGTATTGGGAAAATGCTATGTATATTCCTGCCACCTCTATCCTCTATTATAACGGGAGTTGGGATGTGCAAGGACATCTATTCAATAATTCCGAATTTCTGATAGTAATATGAATACTGATAATTAGCTTTCAAAAAAGAAAAAGAAAAATGAATACTGATAAATAAGTATGGAGTACAACAATGAGGGCCATCTGGAATGTGGGGTTGCAGAGATTCTCTCCATCCTATTGTGATCAGGGTCGGCCTCGAAAAAATGAAAAGAAATTGGCCCGTCTAAAATTTACATTTTGGGTCCTATTTTATTATTTTAGAATACTTATGCTTCAAGTGGAAGTAGAAAAAGTTTAAATTATTACTCCGTATTAATATCATTACAGCGGAATTATTTCAACCATGCCATATGAATGAGAATGAACCTTCAAGTAAAAACCTTTAGAGGTCAAGGACACATCCTTCTTAAAATTGTCAATTGTTCTTTTGCAAATGGCATTATTTTTTATTGTATAATTAGAAATTAGCAAGAATATTAATGATATTTATAGATCAAGCAGAAAAGTACCGAATAAGATTTAAAAAGTTCAATGCAAGTGTTAAAAGGGTATGTAATAATACAAACATGGCAAAAAAAACATGATTCTCTACCATTCATACAATGAATACATAGATAAGAGCATAAGCAATAGACACGCAAAACAACTTATCATGTATGTGCTGCATCTCTGATCTTTTCCAAATTCATAGCACGCCACTTAGCTTCTTTGAAGAACTGGTTCAATCAAACTCGTCGAACAATGATTGCCTTATATCGTCATCGTCCACGAACCCTTGTTCTTTCGTATCCTTCCCAATGGTATTCGGCTCAGATCGTTTTTTTTATTTGAACCATTCTATGCAAAAAGAAAAGTCTTTTTTCAGAACATGCAATGTTAATACACAATCAGTCTTTGTGGAATGTTAATATAGCTTGGGATTGCACCGCAACAGGCATTGCATAAATTTGGTTGGTGTGAAATGCAGACAAATAAATGCAAAGGAGATACCTCGAAATAAAAATGCGGAGGAAACAGAATTGGAATGCAAAGTGAATCAGCCTAAATGTGGATTCAAAGAGGTGCTAAATATAGTGCAGGAACTGCCATTGATGGTATATTTGTGAAACTCTCAAGAAATTCTGAAAAATGGTTGAGAGATAAATTGATGATGAGTTATAGCAATAGAAAGCAAGTAAGGAAGGAAAGGCAAGGGTGACGGAATTGAAACGGGTGAATGAAATGCTATGGAATGCCCAAATTTTATATTGATGGGATGGTAGCCATAATTGAGTTTCATTATTGCCACCTGTAGTGTTTTGTCTTAACATGCCAAAGAAAAAGCGGGAAACAACATATACCATTTTATTTTCTTTTTATATAGAGTAGGATTTTTTTCTTTCTATTCTCGATAACTTTTGTTTTTTTACATGATTTCATTAATTATTTGATAAAATAAAATATGATATTGACTAAATGTGTATTAAATTTTGATTGAAATTAAAAAAAGAAAAAAAATGGGATAATGGAGCGATGGCCATCCCTGCGTGAGGGGCCACGCCCAAAACTTGGAAGACATCGTGGGAAAGGGGTGTGAAGGAGTAAGTCACGTCCTCCTCACGCCACCGTAACACATGCTCTAACAATCGATTTATGACCGAATCAAAACGAAATCCCCGAACATTAGATTGAGAAGACTGATTCATATTCCACTGAGAAGTGAGAATGTAATACGAAGAAAAAGAAAGAATTTCCACTTAAAAAAAGTAAAATATAGAATCACCAACAAATGACAAATTTCATCTAATACACAAATATTGATAATTGATTTCATCAATTGCACATGTAATTGATACAAATACTAAAAAAAGTCACGTATTGGTAAATAATCGAAAGACTTATAACAAAGATGTAATAGATTTGTGAACTTAGGAGAGAGAAAGGGCGGTCAGACTTGTCTAAGTCCTGCGGATACGAAAGAGAGAAAAGGTTATGGGTCTACAATTGCTAGTTGTGCGGCTGCAGTAAAATGAAAGGAGGAAAAACCTAAGATGCAATGTGTGCATATTCTTAAAAAAGTACGGTAAGAAGTGGAAAAATAAAAAAGAGATCCGAACTTATAAACTGTTTGGATTTATAAATAAGGAAATAAAAAAATTGGATTTCGGAGATCGAAAGATGAATATATGCTGAAGCATGTAGAGCATCGGAGCAACATCACATTTCGGGCAGTGATGGCCGGAACAGTACTTGAAACAGATGGTTAAGGAAAGCAGAGTCGTCATAGCTTTCCTTAAGATAGTATCGCCCACCTCTCGCACTGCAACATGGACGACCTCTTCCCAAGATAAAATTGCAACGTGCGAAATCTAGAGCGGTAGAATGAAGCACCGTCGAACAAGAACGAAGTGGAGTTACTCACTTTAAGACATCGGAATATGAAGCTAAAAAAATGAAAGCATTTTATGCACGAGACAAAAATTAAATTTCAAATATCATGTAGACTTCACTCTTTGTTACAAATCTACGATCAAAGTCTAAATTATTTTCTTTCAATGACAGTCTGGTCCAGTCTTAGGAGACTCTCGGATATGAGACTCATCTTTTTTTATGGAACAAGAGACAAAAGAGCGCATAAGTTTCCAACATTGACAATTTGACCATGACAACATAAGACCTAAAAACAACGGTAGAATCCAAAGTATGGCAAAGAGTGGATCAATATGAAAAACTAAAAGAAAAATTGGAAGTGGGCAAAAAAACCGAACTAGGTACTATACCGGACTGTAATGGTACCGAACCGTTTATAATATTTTTAAATAGGATTAATTTTTTTCATCACGGACCGAAACCAAACCGATATCAAATAGGTTTGTGAACGATTCTGTGTTTGTTTGTGACTCAAGCATTACTCAAAAATAATTTTGAAAATAGAAAAAGTAATTTTTTAAACATTCCAAAAAAGAAAAGATGAATTAACTTTTGGGACAAATAATGCATTAGCATTAGTGGGCATCCACTAATGGCAATTAATTAATGGAACTTGTAGCACTCATTCGAAACAAATTAAGGTTTGTTTCCGACTTCCGAGTACTTAAATACGCTCTTTCACATTGAGACCATGTTATTTGGATGATTTTGATTGGAACAAATTTTGATTTGATTATTTATGATCTGATTCCAATAAAAAATACTCCCTCCGTCCCATAAAGTGTTACCCATTTTGATTAAAGTAGAAATTAAGGGAGGGATAATTTTGTGTTGACTTTCCAAAAATACCCTTGATGTGATGGGTAAAAGTAGAATGTGATGTGTAGATTATTAAGAAAAAGATATGATGTGATAGGTAGGATTTGAAAAAGTAAGGAGTAAAAGTGGTTTTTTAATAGAAATGAGTATGAGATTGTGGGACACAATTTTTTTGAAAGGTGTAAATATTTTTGGAACGGAAGGAGTAATAAATAATAAAAATAAATTAAAGGGAACATGGCCTTACACGTAGATGTTTTGGCTTAAGAGATTAAATTGACTTGTACACTTTGTTTGGTTCAAAAAATTTGGAAGGAAAAGAAAGAAATGATTTTCTCTCATTCTCCTCACTAAAATGAGAGGAATTTAGTTTTCCCTCCACTTAATATATTTTGCCTTCTTACTTTCTTTTCCTTCCACATTTCCTTTCCTTTCCTCTCTAACCAAACAAAAAAAATATTTTCGGCTTCATTTTCTTTTCTTTTCTCTAATAAATTCTATGAACCAAACATAGTATTAGGGCCATATCATTTTCAGGGTCAAGGATTTCAATATAACAAGAAACTTTGATGCAATAACCATTTGGAAATTGGAATATTATAATCTAAAATATGAGAACACAATTTCTTCATTGAATATGAAATATGATATGTGCACAACTCATTCAAGATGAACAAAAACAAAACATAAAAAAGTGAACTAAATCCGGACAGGAAGAGATAGAGAGTACAAACTAAGGCATGCAATATGGTTCTCATCTTAACAATACTGTAATATACATATACCAGCAAAAGCTATGACCAAATACAAACTTGGGTACTTAAGATCTACACTACCATGCAAGAAAACATGGCCAATGGAAAAAACACACAAAAATGGCAATTACCATTTAACTGTTTCTTGGAATTACTTATAAGCATCATCGGATCTAATACCTAGGATTATTCTCCGAATCCTTTGAGGGGGATATAATAGTCTCCTCACCACGTCGAACGATCTGAATCAAAAAGGATATTAGCTTGCAAATACCATTTTTTAAATAACTAGACTTCGTTTTGTTATATTCTCACATTGTTTTTTTAAATAAGTTTTCTGGTAAAAAAGGTGAAAAAACAGGATTTATTTCAAAAAAGACAAGAAAATCATTTTTTGAGTACTATTGACCCTATTACAATGTAGTTTTTGTTCATGTAAGAAAATCGTTTGGGAAAGAGAGAACAAAAATTATGTTGTCGAAAATTAATGACACTTGGAAATTGCTTGAGAAAAACATGTGCTAGAACCAGTATTTGTAATGGCTCCTGAAATAGAGAAAAGAGTTTAAAATGAGACAGCAGAGAAACTTTACCTTGTCAGCAACGCCAAATTCTATTGCTCTTGTAGGATCCATGTAAAATGATCTTTTCATCTTATTAGCCACAACCTCTACTGGCTGGTGAGATACATACAGATTGACATGAACATTATTGGTTTTATAAATTGCAAACAAATACGGAGTAAATAGTTAAATACGGAGTACTTCTAAAAGAAGCCCGCAAGTTCATACTTACATTTCCAGTGTGCTTGGCCAAAAGTTCGACAAGGAGATCTCTTTGTAGTAATGCCTAAGAGAAATATGATTAATCAGAGCCTAGAGAAGAAAAGAACATAACCCCAGTAATAATTACTATGTATCTCATAAACTTTCCAGTTTCAATTACATTTTCTAGTTTTTGGTAAACTTCCATAAAACATTTTGTAGGCCAGCCAACATTCATGTCCTACAAAATTCTATTGCAAACCCTATCTATCCAAGGAGGAGGAAAACTGGTTTCTCAAGTCTAAACACAAAAAGGATTTTTTCCACTCCACAGCAGAGACCAAATTTCCAAGGAAAACTTTTCGGATGAAAATGGTTTCTGTGTATAATACACTACTTCAAAATCCTCAACTCATTGCCACTTATTACTGTTGATACATGATGAAGTAATTTCTTTGTAAGGTCATGTTCTTTTGAGTTGGAATTCTAAACTTTCAACTCCCAGCCTCTTCCCACTCATTCCAACCTTTTCCAGTTTCTTTCAATATCTTCCAATTCTTATCATTAAGTTGGTTTGTTTTTATCTGGAAATTAAAATTAACTAAAAAAATTAGACAAAAGAAAGAAAAATGTGTTAAAGTTTATTTCAAAACTATGTCCCAAAATTCAAATTAAGTGAAAATATCTCAAAAAAACAGAATGTGGTGTGGAAATTCATATAAACAAAATATTGTTGTAATCGTTGTTATTAATATTAGCCCTACTATTTTAATTTACTTCCATCTTAAAAGTATTCTTTTAAATTTACAACAACAGCATAATGTATATTACCTTAATATTACTCCTTTCATCCAAATTTAAATCATCTTTTTTGGTTTACGATGTTTGACTGAAGTTATTTTCATTGCAAATGAGAATTGGAGCGGAAATTAAAAAACTTTACATATTAAGAAACTACATCAAAAGATCTACGAAACAAGACGTGACATGACTACTATTTTATCTAATGAGTAACGAAAAATAGGGAAACCCCGTGAACCGGCAACTTAATTTGGGACAGAGGGAGTACAATTTTAACTTATACTCCATACTTATTGAGAATATCTGTACTGTATAATGTTGTTTAAAATGTTAGCATTGGTTACTTTATTATGAATAGTGTTCTACTCCCTCCGTCCATATCTTTCTTCCCACTTTCCTTTTCAGGTCGTCCCATTTGATTCTTCTCATTTCCTAAAATGGAAATAAAAAGCACCTAAACTTACCCTTTTACCCTTCCTTTTTCTCTCCCCCACACGCTGCTTTTTCTTTTTTCTTTCTTTCATTCTTCCATAAGACCCCAGCCCCCCCCCCCCCAACTCTCTCCTCTCCTCTTTCTTCTTCCTCTTCCTCTTCTTCTACCCCAACCCCATTCTCTGTTTTCTTCTTCTGCATCACATTCCCACCCCATCTTCTTTTTCCAACCACCATCCATCTTCTCTCCGAATTCCATCGCAAAGGATTTTCCTCCTCTATGACGGAATGCAATTGTGGGTCAACAGTTTGCCAGAAAAGGGAGGCAGCAGTAGACAAAAAAGGTCGGCAATGGTGGGAGACAAAGAGGGACGGTGGCGATTGAGTAAAAATTCCAGATTTCATTTTTGATTTCTTCATTAGCCTATCGCCCTCTTCTATTAATCACAATCTAAATTTGATTTTCTTGAGTATGAATAGATATGATGTTGATTTTGTTTTAAATTTTGATTTCATCTTGTAATTTGATTTTGATTTTGAACTTGTTGAAAAAAAATGATTTTGAAGTTGTTGAAGAATAAGAGATGAGTTGGTTAGAAAAGATTAAGAGACACACAGCGCATGGACATTGACACGAAAAGAAAGAGGGGTAAAAGTGGAAAGTCAATACATTTTAAAGGAGTACTCCGCATTATTTAAAGGAGAAACATTTTTTAGTCAATAAAATAAAACATTTTACTTTTAAACGATCATTTTTATTTAATATTGTTGAATTCAAAATATTACTATTAGTTATTTTAAACTGAAAATAAAAATTAATAGTGTTTTTATTCAACCCCTAACTTATTAAAGTTCTTTCCAGTGTCTTCCAAAAATCCTTTGAACTTTATCCAGATCCAACTCTATTTATCCAAACCAAAAGAACAAGGCCTACCTCGTGAGAATGTAAACATAGGAGTTAAACTAACCTCTCTAGCACGAATTATAACATCACTAGCAGGCAGCAACCCAGTTGAAGGTACACGAGGCTGTTGAATCATAGCTGGCACAAAACATTAAATAATCATTATTGAAACACCTTAAATCATGGGCAATGGAAAATACAGAGCCATAACTTCAGAAAGAGAGTATGCCTTTTGCATGTGGCAGCATAAACCTTTTCCCTTTAGTTCCAGCAGCAAGCAAGAGGCAGGCCTGGCCTATGGCAGCACCAACTCCAACAGTATGAATCTGCATATCAAAGAGGTAGGATCTAGGAAGACATCAAAACGAATAATATTGAAATCTCTTAAATGATTTACACAATGATACAGAAAAAAATCAAAAAAAAAGAGCAACTTGTAAGATACAGTTTACAAAAGTTTTAAAAAAAAGATAATGAAAATTGACTGCAATCCTCAAAAATATAAACATAATAATCAATGGCCGGTGGAGTATAGCACTGCCATGGCGGATGGAAATCATTCTTCCAATCTTCCATGGTGGTGCCATAGCTGCTTTTTCAGAAACAATCATAACAACATGGGCATGAAAACTAACCACTCATGAATCCTAGTAAACATGATATGAGAAAACCATTGCAGTTGCTGCTTAATGGTTGTTTGCAATACCAAGAAAAAATGATTTTTTTCTTTAATCACTCCTTCACCCCCACCCCCCGCACACATACGTAGCAAATAAAAATTTTCATTTTCTTTTTGCACGGAAATTAAGAGAGGTGAAAATTTTAATATGAACCACTTTTCTTTCCTCATAAAGAAATGGGAACTTTATTGTGAGATGACCCAAAAATTAAAATGGGAACTCAATTTCAGGATGGAGCGAGTATATAAGAAAGAAGCAAAAGTCAGGTATAAGAAAAGGGCTGAGCACCATTCCATGATCAGACAAGGACCAGCCCAAATTGGTTTAGAAAGGAATTGGAATCACCAAAAAGTAGGACTGAAGACAGAGCTGATATAAGTATAATCTAAGACTGAATGCGTATATTCCACGCCTTGAAGGACTGGACTTGATTGGAAATGTATTTTTTAATTTTGTAATTTGAAATTTAATGTTGGCTTTTGTAGCTCTTAACTTATAAAATTTGAAATGAAAAAATACTTATATAAATATATAAACAAAGTTAAAGAAAAAGTTTCCGTTTAAAGTAAGTATAGCACCAAAAATATGTTAGATAAAAAAATAAAAGTACATAGAAGGCAATAAAATGTTTAAATTATGGTCCATACTAGTCCAGACCGGAATATTCCAAATCTGGACCGTACAGCTGTACGGGGTCAAAATTCTTTAAAAGCTTGGAACAATGACCAAACTAGTATACAATTGCTCCAAGTTCAGCCTAGACTGGATTTTGCTTGGCCCTAATAGCATCTCAAGGTAGTCCATTAAGAGGAGAACTATATCAAAGTTGTGAAACATGCATGAAACATTATTCCTGGAATTATAATTAGATGGTACAGAATTGCAGATGCCACTTACTTGTTTTTAATTTGCATCATAGCATCATAAATTGCAAAACCTTCATATTCCAAAGCAACCTTTATAAATGAAAGAAAATAAACATGATATGTGTGATTGTGTGAACAATTAAATATAAGAATTTGTGCATTACATGTGGACTTAACCAATGCCAAGTCAATCTAAAGATGGAAAAATAAATAGATAGGAAAAATATGTATTCGGATTATAATGAATGGACTAAACGGCTAAAAAGGATCTATTAATCCATTAATAATAGGTAATACTACCTGTTCTGTGTATTCGTCCAAATTGACTTCTTTGACAATCTTTAATAGTCAATTAAATAAAAATTGAATTGCTAATAAATACAAAAATTATTTAATTTGATACTACCTTTTCTGTTAAACATTTTTTAGAAATGGAAGAAGTATTAATAAAGGTTTAACACATTTGATGTTCCCCACTTTTCAATGTGAGTGAGCCTTGGTTCTCTTAAATTTGTTTTTGATTTCTTTGTAGTGCCAAATGTAAATCTGATTTACCCAAAATTCCTTATGTGTTCACATTTTATTTATAATATGTTTTGAGAATATAGTAAAACTTAGTAGTTAATTATTTTTAAAAAATTGTTAAGACTATATAAAATATTTTTATTGAAAAAGGGTAACTCAAAAGGTTTTATAAAAGAATAATAACAATATATTCAAACAATAACAAAATTAGTACTTCATATAAAATAATACTTGTATATTTTATTTGCATTTATAATTTTATAAATACTTTATATAAAATATTTTTAATTTTTAATTTTTTATTGGAAGACTAAATGTAGAATAAATTTCGTGTACAAAGGACTTTCGTTGTAATTTTTTATTTTATTCAACAGTCAACAAACAAAATGTTAAATGGCTTCTGCGTAAGTGTTATCAAATGCTCGTAAGCAAGAACACAAGGAGTATTTGTTCGTGGAGTAGACAAGACATGAAAAACCTCCAATTACAAACGGCCATTTCTTGAATTTACTCCACAAAACAGGAAGAAGTCAGGAAGTATGTTTTAAAGCCATATATGGTATGTGTAGCCATTAAGTCATTAACACCAGTTGGAAAGACTAACTATAACTATGCATGAACCACATAGTCATGGCAGAAGTGTTCAAATGGAATTGTAATACGTTGCATGAAGTGTCGACTTTCAAGGAATATGGGAATAATGGGACATGGAAAACTCACGATCTCTCCATCATCGCGGATTGTCCCGGTAGAGTTGATGTAAAGATAAATTGGCTGCTCAGGGTCCATATATTGCAGGTACATCAACTGTGCCAGTACAAGCTCTGTGACTGCAGACACCAACTGAAAAGACATTGACATTTAACACTCATCAGCCAATATTAATTGATACATAAAAAAGACTACGTTGATACACATAAGAATTATCAAAAGAAAAGTTAAAATGTATTCACGTGTCCCTGTTGTTAACTACACTATGTCCAACTATTTTGTGAAATGAGAAAGTTGCACACAAATTCAAGAAAACTGAAATTGTGTGGTTGATATTGAACTTGTAAAAAAAATTTGAGCCGCATAATTCACTCCCTCTGTCCCAAAATAGCTGCTCATTTTCCTTTTTTGGGGTGTCCCAACATAAGGTTCCCATTATTTTAAAAATGAAACCAATTCTAATTGAAAGGACAAATTTTCCCTATACATCCTCCCTATTATTACACATTCCGAGATCCAACTTTATTACTCTTCTTCCAATTTCCTATGCAGAACCCCTAGTATTAAACAGTGATTATCATAGTTTTCAAAACCAGACCAGATTGGATTGGACAGCTTTTCAACTTCAAACAGATTTGAACCGGGGTGAAATGGTTAGAACTGGCCATCCAAACCGGTTGAACAAGTTTTTTTCCTTGTAGAAATTGGCCAAAATAAGGTCTCCCATAGGATTCAAACTATAGACCTCTGAGATATAATGTTAAGATGTTTACCAACTAAGCTAGAATGCTTCATGTTGACATGTTGTTTACTTGTTCAAAATAGTGTAATACTAATACGATGTTATTAAACGAGTGAATATTTTAAAACTAATTCTTCTTTTAATAAAAATTTGAAATAAAAAATATTATAGCTAAGATTTAAACCCTTAACCTTAAATACTCCCTCCTTTATGACCACTTTCCTTTTGGCACATAAATAAAAGAGAAGAAATTATGTAGAAGAAATGACCTAAATTCCCTTCCACATCCGTACAAAACCTTTTCTGCTCCACCTCATCTACTCTAGAGCTTTACTCCTCCTCAGTCCTTACAGAACCTTATCTTCCAATCTTGAATTCGTGAAGCTGCCGCCCACATGTGCTCCGATGACCGGTTACGGAGTACAAAAAAATTAGACATTTCCAACTTGAACCGAACAAGAAATTTGTGAGCAACAAATAAACCTCAGATCTAGTGTCGTCTTCATTGAATCCAGCAGATCCGTCACCAGAATGTAAGAGAGAGAACACCATCACTATAGAAGAATGATGTCATTGCCGGAGAACCACCATCATCAGAAAAGAGATCTTTTTGTGCACAAGAATACTGTTGCCGCCTCATACAGAAAGGATCACTGTTGTCACCAAACCTGTGCTCACTGAAGGATGTTGCTCGCCTAAGAAGAAAAGAGAGATTGGCTCTATCTGTTTTGGAGTTTTGGTTGGATAAGTTGAAATTTACCGTTAGGGGCAAGTAGGTCATATGACATAATACTCAACCCAAAATAGAAAGTGGACGAATACACACTGGGACGGTCTAAAAAGGAATATTGGACAAAGACACCAGGACGAAGGGAGTATAATTGATACTATCAAGGAACCAGCCCAACCAACAGCTCAAGTTTGTGGTCGTAGCCTCGGAAGGGGTTTTTATACTCTAGCACGCCCCCTCATGTGGAGGCCAAGCCGCTTCGAGTCTAGCATGTGAAAGAACCAAGGTCAAAGAACCTGTTAGTCAACAAGGCTCTGATACCAGGTCAAAGAACCAAGTCAACAAAAATGTCATGCTTGTGGTTGTGGCCCAGGTAAGGGTTTTTATACTCTAACATATACTAATACAAAGAACATTTCAAGAAAAGTTTTTATACTCTAACATACACTAATACAAAGAACATTTCTGTTTTACCATTCACAGGGTCAAACTTCATTCACTTTTTCCCCTATTTTTGTGACTCATTTGATAAAAAAAAATATAATCATGTCATATCTTGTTTTGTAGAGCTTTTGATGTAATTTTTTAATATGTAAATTTTATTCTTTAATTCTGCTGAAATTCTCAAATAAACTTTATTGAAAATAACTTCAACCAAACATCGTAAACCGAAACAGACAGTTCAAATTGAGATGGAGAATGTGTGTCTATATATATGTGTGTGTGTGTTATGTATTCCTTCCGTCCCTTTGGATGATTCTATACGCTTTTTGTTTTTAGTTGTCCCATTACGTTCTTTACACTTCCGATTTTAGCAACACTGAGGTTATAAAGCCTATTTACCTTCTGGACACTTTTCACATCATTTCTAATATCCCACTCCAATTTCACCTCATATTTTAATAATTATACCATAGTTATTTAAGGAGCGATGTGCACCGATGCACCAAGGGGGTCTAGAGCCTCGATGCGGGATGCGCCATTAGTGCGCGTGCATCACGAACATGAGGCACAAGTTATGGAGTAGTAGCATAGTAGCTCTAAATTTAGTAAATTAGCATACATGCATGCATGCACATGCATGCATGCATGCATGCATGCATGCATACATACATACATACATACATACATACATACATACATACATACATAATGTATATGAACGGAAAGAAACAAAATTAAGTGATAAACAAAAAAGAGGATGCCTCATGATTTAAAAAAATTAAAGAACCCATTTACTAAGTTGAAACGTGCCGGCAGCAAATTCCAAATAGAGCCGATGAACATGAAGAAACAAAGCAAAAGAGAGGGAAAAAAGGGGAAGCCTCACAATTAAAACAATGAAAAAAATATAAAAGAAACAGAATATGAAGCAAGGAAATAGAGAATCCAAAGAGAGCAGAAGCAAAATCAATAGGGGAGGAAGCAAAGTCGAACCAGAGAGAAGAAGCCCTAGCGATAAAGTGGCAAAAGAAACGAAGCCGCGGAAAGAAACACGGAGAGAAGTGAAAGCTTTGGGTGAGTCAACCCTAAAAAAATTATAAATAAAAATTTTTTTTATCCATGTTTGCGATGCGCGCATTTTATCGCATCCAGTCGCATCACTTATTACGCTGATGAACATCTATGCGCTCGCATAACAAACATCACCCGCATCACCACGAAGAATGCGCAGAGCCTTGTGCCTCACACGATGCGCGCCTGAGGCGCGCTTTTCACAACTATGAATTACACGGTGAAGGGAAAATATGGAAAGTAAAGAACATTCTTACATTTGCATAAAACTCCATGAAATCTTACCTATAAAAAATTCAATGGGAAGGAAGGAGTATATTTGTAAAAATAATTTTTCAAATATGTTTGAATCACTAGTTCAACCATTGAACCAGAGTCGTGACCAATTTGATAACTGGTTTGGTTCTAAAAACTATGGTGATTATGAATGGTATCATGTCAGAGTATCCATTAGAAAGTAAGTTCACTAGAGACAAAAATACCTATTTCACTAATTTCTTATTAGAACAACAAACCCAATACAATTTGTACCCTCTTGTGGTTTAGGGGGTCATGATGTAGGCAATCTTACCCCTATAAAAGTAGAGGTTCTTAGGATTGTCAATATATTACACAATAAGTAAACATAGTCTTAGAGTACTCTCGAGCATCACAGATACATGCATCTTATAATGGGAGGTCATTATTGTTAAGAAATGGTCCTAGAGTAGATTACTTAAATCATGGAATAATAGAAAACTCACTGGCATCCCAATATATACTATTCTACCCTCGAGCAACAATGATGGTAAATCTGGAGGAGGTTCACGTGACCTAGAATTTCTGTATGATCCTGACCTCTCCACCTACTTTAAACAAAACAAAAATCTTCAATTAGTGTGACACGTTGAATTGTGAATAAATGATAAGCACGCTACTAAAACAAAAGTACTACACAACCATTAAAAGGATGCATATGATAGAAGGAATCAAGTAATAAATATGATGCATCAAACCACAACACGGGCAGCGAAAAAAGCTTCAACCCATTTCCAGTGAGAGACAAATTAACTTCCAGTAAAACAAACATTTGCACATATTTTTCAAAATGCAAATACCATGACAATTAAAGTGATACATTCCCATTTCATTCAAATTCCTGAAAAATCTTTTACTTTCAGTGTGTTTGGTTGGCGGGAAGAAGTGTGAGGAACCGAGTGTCCACACCCTTCATTTCCATCCCTTCCCTTCCAACAAACATTTAAATTACTATAAGTATGGCATCTAATGTCTTCAATGCAAGTACAATTGATATTTCATAGCTACATTTTCAAAAAGTATCTAATTAAACATATTCATAATTACAGATTGAATAGCTCAATGTATTTTTTTATGCAAGTCAAAGTGAGGGCTTAATTTTGGGAATGAGGGAGTATAAAGAGACAGGAATTCAAAAAATTTACATTTCCGAACCTGCGCAGGAGTGGCCATGAGTTTAGGGGAGTCGTAGATGTCCAAATACGGAGGCACATCAGAGTTCACAGTCCGATTAAGGACGGCTTCCGGGTTTCTAGCAACGGCAGAAGCCAGCTTCATCAGGAAGGGGTCTCCAGGGTTGACCGGAGGGAAGGGGATTTCGGCACTGCTTCTACGGCTGACTGAGCACACGGCTCTAGAACTACGTCGCTGCTTGAGAGGAGCAGAAGAGGAATGAGAGCGCGGAAGCAATGACGCCGTCGGCAACCGGAATGTGGCGGTGGCCATTCTCTCTGGCCGCTGCTACACTCTTTTGCAAGGTCTCAATTGTATGGCATTTGGACGGACAACAGGGACTCGGATAGGTTAATTAGGTGTAGCAGAACCGGAAAAAACCCCAATTTGAGGTGTATTTGAAGCACTACACTTTAATTGGAGATTTGATGCATCTCCAATAGAGAGGGTAGGTAAAAAGTGTGTAGGGTTAAATATACACTTTATACACTACAATATACGTAGTATACATTTTGACCCCTCCAATGGATAGGGTAAATAATGCACTATAGTCCAAATTACAATTCTCAACTTCTATATATACACTCTCCCATTTACCTCTTGTAAAAAATTTATTACTAAAATAATGCATGATTAATTTTGTTAATTCTTCTTATCCAATATAATTTATTTAAAATATCTAGCTATTAGTAAATTATTATTACTCTTTCAATTACTTTTATAAAAAAAAATTTACTAAAATGTTGTAGTAGGCCTTTTTTTTTTACTTTTTTTACTAAAATTTTTATTTCTTGTTTCTTAATACTCTATAACCATAGCTTAAAAAATATGTGTCATCCGAATTTTTAAAACTATATATATTATCACAATTAAATAACTTAAAATATTAAAATAAAATAAAAGTGTATTATATAGAAGATATGGTTGGAGTCGATATAAAAAAGTGGATGTGTAAAACACTATTGATAGTGTAAAACTAAATATAGCCTACCTATTTTTACACTTTCCATTGTAGATGCTCTTAGAGGCATCTTTTAACTGTGTCACTATAATAAGTTTTGAAGATTTAAAGCTATTTCTGACCTGATCTAGTCTAGTCTAATTTGATTCCAATAAAAATAAGTAATAAGTAAAAAATTAGCTGAAGAGAACATGGACTTAAGATCAATTTTTTCAATTAGATTTTTTAAAATTTACTTATTAAATCTACTAAATTTAAATACATAAAAAAAGAATATAATTGTAAGACCATGTGTTATGGGGTGTTAANCCCCCCCCCCCCCCCCACGTCGTGACCATGACAACACCCGGGGTGTGACGGAGGTGTTTCACATGGTCTAATGTACGGGGTAGTATTTATACATAAATTTTTTTTTTGGAAAAAACTAAACTAGGAGTAAAATATGGATAAAATATCAAAATATGGACTTCATATTTTCATCCTGTAAATAAGATTAAAGTACATGAAAAATATAATGGGATGTCACTATACTAATATCACACTGAAAAATTATATTTTGAAATAAAACCATGCAACTCTTATTTTGAGAATAAATACTACTCCGTATATTTTACTCTTATGTGGGATAATTCTTATACTTCTGCCGTTAATGAGGTTTTAACATGTAACCTCTCGTATTAAAGAATCATCATGATGCCGTTATACCACAAAATCTTTGATGCTTGTGTCATAATTTATTTTCTTTTTTGTATTACATAAGTTAGTTTCGAAATTCTCTAGCTGTACACGAACCTTTATACTCTATTATAGAGCTGGCTTTATATTTTTCCTATTTTCAGATAAAACCATATACCCCCATCCCTAAAAGATTGTCATAGTTTAACTTTTTTGGTTAAACTGTGACACCTTTTAAACATAAAATAAATATAATTTAAAATAATTAATTTTTACGTATAAAAATTTGATATTTCAAAACTATATTAAAATAAATCTAATTTTTCTAAATTTACATTATAACTAAATATACATTTTCTATAATTTATAGTTAAAGGGTGTCATAGTTTGATCAAAAATGTCAAATGTGACATTCTTTTACGGACAGAAGGAATATTTCTTAATGTGGTTATCTCATATGCATGTTATGTCATAGTATATGTATATCATATTTTGTTTAATTCTTTTTTACATTTTGTTACTCATTTTATTTTCTTGTCTGTAACCAAAATAATCCTTAGCTTGTTAAGATTTAAAACTATGCAAAGTCAAGTTCCAAGATAGTTAGAGTTTGTTTCCTTTAACTTGTTCTTAATATTTATTGTTATTAAAATATGATCAAATCCAAAGTAAGAGAAAAAACTATTTAGCAAAGAAGAGAATACTCGGCATATATCTAAAATTCAACTAAGAATTCAGACTTTTCAAATTACACATATTTTTATAATCTTAATTTATTTAAATTACTCACTTTTTACTCGTAATAAATTAACTTATGTCAAAAGGTCTATTCTACAATCTGCACTAGGCGCTATGGGAGCATAGAGCACGTAGAACGAGTTGAGCATTGAACTTCCCAGAAATGGGCGTGTATCCAATGCTAGGGATGTAAAAATAACAAGGGTTTTGCTAGGGTACTCCACTTGGTGTATGCCAAAATTTCCAAGTGTACACCGAAGCAAAAACTTATCTGTGCATCTGTTTTTGCCTTGGTATATACAAGTGGGGTCCCTCTAGTACTTTCCAAACAAACAAAACTAGTCAACTCATGAATAACACAATTCATGAGTTACAAACTAAGAAATGGCAAAACTCACTTCTTCTTCTTTTTAGTTGCTTTCCTTCTTTTTTTGGCATCCGAAATTTAATGCCAGAACTAGATGGACAACTACCATGAATTGCCAACATAGAAAAACCATTGTCTACAACTCACCGTTGGATGAAATGGCAAGATCCAACTCGAATGATCTCCTAGATTGCTTCCTTTTAGAGAAATTTGAACTAGCCAGAAAGAAACCATCACTCTATTATATTTTGCTTCGGACGGTTTCTTCTCTTTCGGTCTGCCTGGAGAAATACATATTTATGTCAGATAAACAAATAAACTGGTATTACAATTCATGTTAAATCAATGTACAGAAACATGGTGAGCAATAATGAGGATGAGTGGACTGAGAAAAGAAGAACGAATATTCAACTTCTCAAAGAATAATAATAGTCCAAAGTGAACACATTTTATAAAGTCAGTTGATGAATCTCGAATGCCTTGCATGTGTTTTGTTAGTCGTTAATTGCATTATAGTCTTGAAATTTAAAACTGATTTTGAAGTTATATGTTTGTACAACATGGATGGTGGTTGATCTCGAAAAACAATTTTGTTTGGTTTTCAATAAGCACAAATGTGGGATCATACTGGGTTGTTGTTGTTGTTGTTGTTTCAATAAGCACAAAAATTGTCAGCGCCGAAAAAACCACGTACCTGAATACCAATGTGCATCATTTTTTGTTGGCATTATCTTGTAAGGTCTTGCAAAATCCAACCCCTAAACAAGAGAACAAAAGTAAAACACAAGGTGACAAGGACAACATCTACTTCAACTCCAAAATCAACAACAGCCCAGTAAATCCCACTAGTGGGGTCTGGCTGAAGTTGATGCATGCTGACCTTACCCTACCCAACAGGGGTAGAGAGGTTGCCTCTGCAAGACCTCCAGCTTAGAAAACAAGCCCAAAACTTGTTAGAGAAACCAGTGGGTAAGGGCAGTAAAGGAAGGCATTAGAGTACAAGGGATGGATGCAAAGCAAGACAAAATTAGAGAGACAGAAGAAAAGTAAAAGACGGCACCTAAGGACAAACAAAGAGAAGGAACTAAAACAACCACCCTACTCTAACCAACTGACAAACCAGCCCTAGGCGCACCATGAGGTGCTTTGCCTACAACTCTAAAGATTGACCTCCAAATGGCCATATTTCAGATCAAGTCCTCGGTTAGCTGTCAAAGTCTCAAATCTTGCCTAAACACATCAGTCTTACTGCTTTTCGGTCTCCATCTCCCCTTATTTTAAAACAAAAAAGTTCAAACCCAACCAATCAATTTTAGATATCCCGCGCTTCTTTAATTAATGAAGTAGCAGTTAGTCAAGCAATGCAACTTTCGACGTTGAGCTGGGGGTCTCTTTGGAAACAGCCTCTCTACTTTCGAGTAGGGGTAAGGTCTGCGTACACACACCCTCCCCAGACCCTACTCTTGTGGGATTTAACTGGGTTGTTGTTTGTTGTTTTTCCCAAATTTGTTTATTTATTTATTTATGTTACAATAAAAGCCACAAAATCTAAAATTTTATTTTCCATTTTATTTCCTAAGGAACGTACACTTTTTCCCTTTGTATGATATTTTCTCCTTCCACTACCATTTTTGCTTTCCAAGCTTAGCTTAACTGAAACTCTACATCCATTGGTACATTGTTGAATCGAAACTCTGTTACAAGATCAAAAAATTATAGATGTGTCATATCCCGGACAACATTTTTTAATGTATAGAGAAAGCAGTTGAAATTAGGTTAACTATCAACAAACCACACTTTGGTGGCATTCATTTTCCACTCTTCTGCTGATTGTTGAGGATCTGGCTTCAAAATGCTAAGATTCTTCCCATGCACTGTTTGCTTGCTCCTTGCCAGAGCTGCAGCAAGATATGCATCATCACCAAAAAAACACATATCATGTCCCTTAAAAGTGTACACTTAGAAAAATTAAAAACTGTGGAATGTCAAGCCTGCAAACCGTACATATATAGAAACCATACACAGCCATCATCGCAAAACAATGAAACACACACACAATACTGTTTTTAAAAAGGGCCTCAAACAGACATCACAAAGGCAAAAGATGATAATGGTAATGCACTATAAAACACACACAATACTCCCTCTGTTCCAAATTAATCCTCCTTATTTCCTTTTTGGACTGTCCGAAATTAATCTTCCCCTTTCCTTTTTTGGAAAGCTTTTCGTGGCTCACCTTTTTTCTCTCTCTGCAGCACCACTTTCAACCACACAATTTCACTTTTCTTTAACTCCGTGCAAAGTCAAACTAGGAGTATTAATTTGGGACGAAGGGAGTATAATTCGTATTTTAAATATTACATCATTGTTAAAATCAATTCAATCAATCATCGTAACCCAAACGGGACTTTAGTTTTGGGACGGACGGAGTATTTGATTACACTACATGTTGTTATGGTGTACCAAATTAAACCTCCGTGGAAATTTACATTGCATGGAATGCATTTGATTACGATATACTCCATTTCATAGAGTTTTACCAAACTTATCCCTATAAAAAACAGCTCATGGCTAGCATTGACTCAAAGAAAGACTCTTCAACAAAATTATATGTGCTTCTTTCACAACTCAAAGTAAGCATTGAAAAACCTAAGCTACTCTGGTGCAAAATGTAATGAAATAAAAACATTCACATGTCTTGTCTCCCATATCCATGCAGAAACTGTATTTGTTCTTGTGAGTACAGAACCAAACAAAATGAGTAACATCTACATGCAATGTATCATAATATAACCAACTGTATTTTCTTCTCTCCCTTTTAAGAGTTGAGATGTGCTCGGAAAAAGGAGGGAGGGGTGTGAGAGAACATGAATGATACTCTTGAATTTCCACTGAATCTTGTATGTTAATAATTAGTATTTGAATGGCGACAAACCCACCAACTTCACTGCAGAACTTCTTCAGGTCTTCGTATTTCACCTTGGAGCTAAATACGAGTTATGTACTCGCTCCGTCCAACAAAAACGTTCTATAATTTCTTTTAGCCTGTCCTAAAAAAAGGGTTCTATTTCCATTTTTTGAAAAGTTTTTGTGGCTCATATTATTACTATCTCCTTTGCACCACTTTCAGCCACACAATTTCACTTTCCTTAATCTCCGTGTCAAGTCAAACATGGAACACTTTTGCGGGATGGAGGGAGCATATGCAGGTGGTTAATGTGTACAAAATAATTGGATGATGGGACAATGCTCTCAGTAATCAATATTCTGTGGGTGATGTAACAGAAATGCATAGTAATATTGTACTTAAATGATACTGGTATAGCAGATAGTCAGTAGACTACGTTACTAGACAGTCATCAACACTTGGGGTAAGTTAGTAAATGAATGCTAAACCACACTCTTTCAGAATCCATGAATTACATTTTGCTAACCCTTTTCAAAAATGGAAATAACCTCACTGGTTTTTACATAGCATGCTTCATAATATATGTCTTAGCAAGAATCCATTTTGAGCGTGCGAATAGAAAAACCAAATTTTTTTAATAAAAGTGGCTTGAAATTACAAACACAAACAAACAAACACTATACCGGTTCTAGGCCTTTGAGTTTAGAAGTTCTGGGTTATTTTGCTCTGAACGATAGTAAGGGAAGTGGCCTAGGTTTTCGTTAGACTCAACCCAACTCTTTCCAGGAACCTTTATCACCCTTTTCTGTTGCATCTTACGCCGAATCTTGAGAGCATCGTCCCACCGTCCAGTTGCTTTGTACACATTACCCAGATACACATAACTCATATGGTAATCGGGCTTCAATTCAATTGTTCTCTTTGATATTCTCTCTGCGACAATTGGATCTGTGGTACTGCTACAAGCTCCAAGCAGGCAAATCCAAAGAGATGGATCACTTTTGAACTCTGACCTGTTAATCAAACACTCTGCTTCTTCTAGTTCCCCGGCACGACATAGAAGATCAATCATGCAGCCATAATGCTCAAGCCTGGCTTTAATCCCATAATCATTCATCATAGAACAGAAATACTTGCGTCCCATGTCCACAAATCCACTATGACTACAAGCAGAAAGAACAGAAACGAAAGTGATATAATCGGGCTTGAACCCTTCCCCAATCATATTGTTAAAAGTTTTAATAGCTTCCTCTCCTCTGCCATTCTGTGCAAACCCAGATATCATGGAGTTCCAAGAAACCACATTCCTAACATCCATTCTTGTGAATACGTTATGTGCAGCACCAAAACATCCACATTTTGCATAAAGATCAACTAGTGCAGATTCGACTACAATGTCCATGAATCCACCTCGCCTTAAGAACTGGCAATGAACTTCCTTCCCTAGTTTCAAAGCAGCCAATCCTGAACAGGCACGGATTACAGTTCCAAAAGCATGAAGCTCAACCTCATCCATCATCTTAAATAAGTCAATAACTTTATCATACTCACCTTGGTGGCAATACCCGGTTAGCAAGGCACACCAAGAAACTGAATTCCTCTTATCCATGCTGTCAAAAACCCGGTGAGACTCGTTCATAAGCCCACATTTGGCATACATATCCACTAAACAGCTATTAACATAAACATCACCACATATCCCATGAGCAAGAACCTTTGCGTGCACTTGTTTTCCTTCTTTCAACATACCTAAATTTCCCACAGCAGTCAAAACACTTCCAAATGTATGGGTACCTGGAAGCAGCTTCTGTTTCCTGTGCTCTGAGTGGAAGATTTCTAAAGCTTCCCTAAACAAATCATTTTTAGTAAGGGCTGAAATCATTGAGGTCCAACAAATATCATCAAGAATGGGAATTTCATCGAACAACTTCAGTGCATCACCCGGTTTGTAATTCTTCCCATACATATCAATCAATCCACTAAATATAACATAATTATCATAAAAGCCACGTGTAATCACAGACCCATGGAAGCACTGCCCAAGTCTCAACTCCCGGAGCTCCGAACAAGCCTTGATCGCAGTAGATAAAGTAAATGCATTTGGCTCAACCCCAAAATCCACCATTTCCTCATACAACACAAGCGAAAGGTGAGGCTTGCCCGCCCTAATATAACCTGATATGATTGATGACCAAGAAACAACATCCTTGTAGACTAACCCATCAAAAAGGCGTCTGGTTTCAGAGAAATTTCTTCCAAGCTTGAAATAGAGAGAAAGGAGGTTGTTGCCAACAAACCGGTCAGTGTCAAGGCCTGCCTTGATCACACGGGCCTGCAACTGGAGACCAACGGTGAAAGAGCCAGTTTTCGCACACCCTTGTACAAGGGTAGCATACAGGACTGGTTTCACATTTATGATGTCTGTCAGGTCCAGAGAGCTGAGGAGCTTAAGGGCTTTGGAGATATGGCCTGAATTGCAAAACTGGATGATTTCAAATTCTTTGGAGGCCGGATTGGGAACAGCCCGGTAATGTCGTCTGGTTCTGCATCCATAAAAACTCTTCACCAACCTTGTCATCTACACTTTTCCCTGGGGGAAAGTATACATCATTCATAGCTAAAGAAAGAAAAAAAATAAATAAAGAAAAGGAATGTAATGTAGGCGTCTATCCAAAGGGCACAATATTTAACCTTGTCATTCTCATTTCATCTGATTATGAACACTATTTAATCCGAGCAAAATATAAGTAAAATTGACAAATTCTGTGAAAGTAAAATGAAAGGACGACTGAACAGAAGAAATACGTACCAATATAGCTGTATTTTGACTGTGAATCTGCGCGAGTGGCGCCGTGAGATTAATCGGACAGTACCGAGAGATGTGAAGGAGCGGCGTCCGCCGTTCGCTGCCGAGAGGTGAAACTGCTACGACGGCGGCGAATGGAACACTGGCGAGCTTGTGAAAAATAGATAGATGAACTTCCAACGGCAACTCTGACAAGTGGGCGAAAAAGTGGCTTCAGGGCCGTACCGTAGAAAGATTTATAGGAATGGCAGAGAAGGCTTTGAAATTTTGACTGAGCAGTGTGCTCCTTTGCCGCAGGAGGAGGGAGGGGGTGACTGAAATGAAGAAAAAGCAGAGTTTGTGAGTCTCTCCAACGTGACCAGGTACAGCGGCCCAACAACCACAAAAATACAACTAGGCCAAATCTAAGCCAATATGGAGATATTTGAATTTGTATTTGCTTAATTTTTTTGAGTGCGAAACTGAATCCGAATGTGAGACGAATTAAAAATAAGATTTGAATTTGTATTTGATTAAGAGCAATGCTAGGGGTACACCAAAAGGTGTACCCCAAATGTACACCACCCCCTTTTCCACCACACATTTTTATTTGATTTTTATTCACTTAGTTTTTTTAAATTTTTTGCCTTTTTTAGTGGACAAGGAGGGGTGGGGGACATATGGGGTACACCAAAAGGTGTACCCCTAGCATTTTTTTTGCTTAATATTCGAATACTTAACGAATCCTAAACGAATAATTTAATAATCATTTTGCGTAATTTATATGATAGACCAACATAGATTTTAAATAATTTAACTTATAATACTTCTTATACTCTATCTAAAAACATTAATACATTTTTACCTCACACAAATTATATTTTATAAAATATAACTATTAAAAATCATATGCTTTAGATTTTGGAGTTACGTTAATTTGTTGAATTCTTAATAATTTAAATACATTTTATTCTATATTACTTTGCTTGACTATATTGATGTTGAAACATGGTTTGTGTGTATATACATATATTCAAATTTTTGAATATCACCTGTATCGAATATACTCCTATTTGTATTTGTATTTGTTTAATATTCGAATCAAAACTGATATTTGAATTTGTATTTGAATAATGCGAATTCGAATCATTATATTTGAATACAAATCATGAAGCGAATTAAAATACAGAGTATTTAATTTGTTTACATCCCTAAATACAACCCGATAGCCTATGGGAGGAGGTAAAGGATAAGAGTAAAATGAGTTGGCTCAACTGCCACAGTGTCAACTCTCCTACCTCACTAACACTCTTTATCGCCACAATGTCATCATAATCGCAACCACACTGCCACCACTTTCACTGCCACACTGCCATCAAAATCACCACCACACTGCCACAACCACTGATGGCATATAGTCTATTTAAAAATATCTTGGGGCGCTACCCCCGGACTCCTGACCAATACGGCTGCCATCTATCTAAATTCCTGGATATGCCACTGTTCGGTTCCAAATTAGATTGATCAATTTGAAGAATGTGCAAAATTTTGAATTTTTTAAAATTTAATTTATTTACAAACATTTATAGAAATGAAAAATACAATTCACATGAATAAAAACTACATCAAAACTTATATCCGGAGTACAAAACAAGGAATGAAAATAAAATTTTATTTAATCAAATGTTCAATAAAAACATACAAACAAAATAACTCAGATTGCCATAATAGTACGGAGTAGTTGGGTAGTCAATTTTGGACAATTTATGATGAAGTGTAATATTTTCTACTTTTCAATACGGGATATTTTTTTATATTCAAATCTATCAAAACCCGATAAGAGTTTTAAAATGAAGGGAGTATATATACTACCAAGTACAAAATAACACAAATAAAGACTCTTTTAAATACTCCTTAACAAACATATGAAATCACAAAATTTTTCTCATCTCAAACAAAATTTATAAAAAAAAAGTATTTTTCATGAAATAATTGTAGTTTGAACCTTTGAATAATTTATTTGCCGTGCATGGCACCGGTAAGAATCTAGGATAAACAAGAAAAATATAGGGAGTACAAACGGGTAATAGCATAGGTGCCCCACGTGGTTTACAAAAGGAGTGACAAAACCTCCTCTACTTTCAAAAGCTAGTTGTAAAACCCATGTGGGTTTTAAATAGTGCACACACACCTCCTTTTGTCTATTTTAGACATGAAATGACATTTCTGCCATTGGTTTTTCTCTAGCTTTAAATTTCACTCATTTCTTTACATTTTTTGTTATACAAATAAATAAATTAAAATATACGCCCTCTTTTTGAAATTAAAATTTTTCGTTTATTCAATTCTCAAAAAAAATAATTTTCTTAGAAAATGTTACAAAAAATGAAATAAAATACACTTTTTAATTATAAGTAAAAGTAAAATAAATAAAATAAAAAACTAGATAACATATACTCACTCTATCTCTAATTAAAAATTCTAACTTATTTTTTTAATAGTAAAATAATTTTTTAAGGACTTTAAAAAATGAAGAACAGAACGATGAAATAAAATATGGAGTTAAAGAAAAAGACTATTTTTTATATGTTTATTTCTTTTCATTACCTTTTTTAACCATCATTATTTTTACTTTGTACATAATATTTTATTTTTCATTTTCTTTTGTAACATTCTCCAAACAAATTTTGTTTTCCAACGTACATAATGAAAAATTCTAATTTGAGATGGGAAGCATATATTTTATTTTATACTACATCCGTCCAAAGTATTTGTTCACTTTCATTTTTAGACACCATCCAATACATTTCTTTAATCCATTTTATCTTGTAATTTGTATATTAAAAAATTATATAAATTATATATTAATAATCTATATGTTAAGACAAATAAAACAAGATCACACATGACTATATTTAAGCTGACACATTGAGAGAATTTGATGAGTCAAAGTGCTCAGTTCCAAAAGTCAAAGCTAGACGAATACTCCGGGACGGAGGGAGTATATTTGTATAATAAAGGAAATTGAAATTGGAAAAATTCAAGATCGGGGAAAACAAAAGGCATAAATGTCATTTTTGCTTTAAAAATAGGTAAGGGGTATATGTGCTCCATTTAGAAACCACATGGACTTTACACGTAACTTTTGAAAACAGAAGGACTTTTGACGCCCTTTTGGTAAACCACGGTAGGGGTGAGCAAGTACCGAACCGATACCGAAATTTCCTGAAAAAACCGAGAATACCGAAACGAAAAATACCGAACCAAAAAAGTACCGAGAAAGAACCGAACCGTACCGAACCGAATGGTTGGTACGGTATTCGGGAATGGTACGAGATGACGTCCCATACCGAAAATCCCGTACCGAACATATATATACTAAAATATTATAAAAATAATACCCCGAAGTAATATTTTTATATATTCCTTCACTAAATAATACTCCCTCCGTCCCTAAATAAAGTTCCATTTTTGACTTTTTGAGGATTTAAGGGAGGGATATTTTAGTGTTGACTTTCCAAAAATACCCTTGATGTGATGTGTTAAAGTAAGATGTGATAGATAGATTATTAGTAAAAAGGTATGATGTGATATGTATGGTATGAAAAAGTAAGGGGTAAAAGAGGTTTTTTAAGGGAAAAGAGAAGTTTATTTAGGGATAAAGAAAAAACGAAAGAGGAACTTTTTTTAGGGACGGAGGGAGTAATTTTTTTAAAAAAATTTGGTTCAAGTTCTATTATGTGTAAATTATACTTTTATTTGAGTTTTAATTTTTGTGTATGAGCATAAAAATATTCACAAAGATTCGAAATACTCTTTTGTTGTCATTCATTTTTTAGTTTGTGAAATATAAACTAAGTTTTGATACACATCTCTTGCATTTAAATATTCATTTTTTTAAATTTTTCATGATTTTTGTTTAAATTCACTTTTAATTTTCAAAAATAAAGGGATATTGTTAAATTTTAACGTGTAAAGTATGTATGTATCTTCATCTTGATTTGTACTGAAACCGACACCGAACTGATATTTCGGGATCAGGATAGGTACGCAGTAAAATCTCATACCGAACCGAAATATTTGATACAGTATCGGTACGAGCTAAATACCGTACCATGCTCACCCCTACACCACAGGGGCACATATGCTATTACCCTGTAGTACAAAAATCTTATTGGCAAACGGGCCGAAAAACAGAGAGTAAAATGGGTGCACAGAAGCCAGAAGCCCAAATAGCCTCATACCCATAACCCACTGAAATACGAGAGAGAGAGAGAGAGAGAGAGAGGGGGGTAAGTGAGAAGATGGAGAAGATGCGGTGCCAGAGGATCGGCTGCAACGCAGTTTTCACCGAGGATGAAAATCCAGAAGGTTCCTGCACTTATCACGATGCGGTCAGTACATCTTCCTTCGGTCGTCTTCTTCGCAATCCACATTTCGCATAAGCTTGCAACCATTATTGCTCCTGTGCATTCTCTATTGTCTAAATATATTTGTCTGGACGCAAAATCGTTCAGGTTGAAGAGTTCTATACTCTTCAGGGTTTCATTATTTCTACAGGATATACTCTTTCTGTAGGGATTTGGTTATCCAATTTGCAAAATAGAACTCCTTAACTTCAGTTGTCTTTCATTGATGGCAATCATGCTTATAGACTTTGTCAACAGTTTATTTGACAATTCCCAATGATTTGCTTAGAAACTACTCACATAGAAAATGGACAACTAACTCCCCACACTCGAAAATGAGAAAGTGGACAACTAAATTAGGGCAGAGGGAATACTAATTAACTTTCTATCTTCAAGATGATAGCCGGTAGGGGTTTACCAGTTGATGTGGTTGGATGCTAAAACTGGAAAATCTGCCAGGGAAAACTATAACATTTGCTATAGTTTTGCACAAGTACATTTGGTCTTCCAGAATGGGAAGCCTACGCCTACCATGACATGAAAAACAGTGTTGGTTGTGCTTTGCTAAGATAAGGGTCCTGCGGGAAAGTAGTAGGGTGTGTGTATACTGTACAGAGACTTTATTTACCCCTACTCAGAAGTAAAGAGCTGAGGTTGTTTCCAAAGAGACCACCGGCTCAAGCACCTCAAGAAATCACGTACACAGCAATGACCCCATATGTTTAGAACATAGAGTGGTTGTTTTCGGATTATCCACGATGGGCGTCGACTATTGAAAGAAAACAACTTCTTTTCCAAAAACCATTTTCATTCTGCAGTGTT